GTTTAATCATCTTCCTTGGATTCAGGATGCTGGCTTGATACATAAGAAGACAGTGAGGCTGAGCTCCTTGGTAACTATGGCCTTCTATAAAATCCTTGCAGGAATTAAGTATTAGTTCCTCCTTGGTGGATTTAATAAATAAAATAGGCATTCCTCTCTCTGTTCAGGAATACAAGCAAGACAATATATTTCGGGGGTTTCCAAATAAATGTTAGTTTCCTTTTCGTTCGTAAAATCCTGCAAGTAACAACCTTCCCCAGAGAGCAATGGGATGATTGCCTACTCAGTTTTGAAATCTAATGGTTCCTCCAGCACATAAGAATAAATCCATCAATTTTTGTGAATATTATGGACTGCAGGTTGCCCAGGGAGATGTTTGAGGCCATTCTGACTCAGAACAGTGCTGTTGCCCCATTTGGAGACTCATAGCACATAAAAGCAATAAGCAGTGCAAATCCATGGACTTAAAACTTGAGGAGAAATAGCCAGAAGCTTCTTTTATCCTTTTATGTGTAAGCAATTAGTAAAATAATTTCACTAGAGTTTTCTGGGCCAAGTGTAAAATTTATATGTAGAAAGTCTCCCCCTGCCCCTGAGACTCCACAGAGTTTTTGCATTCATGATCAACCAAATTTTGAAAAAGAAAACATGTGCATAGCCAGCCTCCTCCCAGAAGAGTCAGCCCATCTTAACATAGCAAGCCAATTTGTTTGGTCACACACAAGGTAGACAGGAGTAATCATTTAGTCCAAAAGATCTGATGCAGTGCACTCGGTTGGAAGAGTTTTTTTCTTAATGAAAAGAAAATACGAATGGACTAGGCCAAATATAAAAATAAATAAATAACCACAGACAAACACAACTTTTTGAAGTTCTTGATCTTGGTAGGATTGTTCATGGGGGAACAGCTCATCATCACATCACTTTGGAGTTCAGGGGAGGGGACATCTTGCTCACAGATTTAATTTGGTCCATGTGCGGTTGGAATCCAGTCTTTGGGAGTTCCCCATCTCTCTCTCCCCCACTCCGAAGACTCACCCCCTTGCAGAGGAGTCCCTGTTGGTTTGAAGGTTGCACCATCTCTGCATGCAACATCAGGCTTTTATCTGTCTGCCTTTGTCTTGGGATCTTGCCAGTTAGACCATGAAGGGCTTCTAACCAGCAGCTCTGCAACTGGGAAGCTGGTGGAGAACCAGATAATGGGACCCAGGCTTCCACCTATCCATAAACATCAAGGACTACAAATCCCATCTGATTTGTGAATAAGGTTAGGAAAATGCACCAGTTAGTGGCATTAGGATATTTGATTTCTTTTCCTGGCTTGGTTGAATTGATTTGGCTCTGTAACTTATACTTTCTGTCTGTACCTGGAGGGCAAGTTGGTTCTTCATGGAGTGATATCCTTTTACTATATAATTCCCTTACATAGAGTAAAGTGTTCTGCCCCTCTTACACTCCTTTTCCTACATGCCTTAGGTTGGCCCAGGTCTTCGCTATGGTTGGCAAGGGAAGTACCAGCAGAATTCCCCAGCAACATCCAGATGCATTGCTAAGGTGGAAGGGTTAGGGTTAAGGTTAAGGTTTGGGTTAGGGAGTACTGGGTGAACACATTTTGTTTCCCTGCCCCTCCTTTGGTGGAGGAGTGAAGCCATGTTCCTGGTCAAAATGGCAGGGAAAACTTTACCTGGCCTTTTGGCTGGGAGCCCTATGATTTCTAGGCAGGATGGTGCCCCACGATGAAGAAATCCTGTTCCAATTTTACTGTGAAAATTTTACCCTTCTAAAGGTCTTTCCTAACAGTGCAGGTTCCTATCTGAAGTCTGGGCAGATGTTGACAGAAATACTTTAGGCAAGAAGCTGTATTGCCTTCAGCACATCAAAAATAGTAGTCAGCCCTCTGTACCCACTAATACTTCATCCACAGATTCAAGCACCCACAACTTGAAAATATTAAAAAGCTAGACCGTCTATAAGTTAAAAAAAATTGCTTAAAAATGGACTCCAAAATTCTGTGTTGACTTATATATGGGTCAATACAGTAATACTGTGCATATGCCCAAACTGGAATCTTTGCAAGGTCTTTTGCTGAAGAGAGGAGGGAGGGAGAGAAAAAGAAATGAGAGGATTTGCCTTTTATTTTCCATGCCCAGACCAGGATCTTTTCAAGGACTTTTGCCGAAGGGAGGAGGGAGGGACAGAAAGAGAAAGAGCTGATGGGGGTTTAATAGTCATAGATGGGCCACTGGACACCCTACTCTTCCTGCAGAGGAAGTGGCCTATTGTAATACCTGGCAATAAGAATTGCAGCAGCAGTGGGGACTTTTTGCTGCTTCCCTGCCTTGGCAGACAGAGGTCAATTCTGTCCTTTCCATCCTTCCTTACATGCCCTCAAGTTTTATCCTCAACTTATCCATGGGTCATATCAAAAGCCATGATTTTGGTCCCAAAACCTCCCCTTGACTCATACATGAGGTCGACTTATACACAAGTATACACAGTATACATTACAAAAATCAAACCTTGATTTTGCCATTGGATATAAGGGACACAATTTCACTAGTCATTGTATTTAATGAGATTTGAACATCCATGGATTTTGATATCTACAAGGGATCCTCGAACCAAACTCCAGCAGATACCAAGGGCCCACTGTACTCTAATTGGTCTTTCATTCTTAGCTACATTTTTTAATCTATATCCTGTCCTTTGTGGAAAGGGTTTAGAGTGATGATGAGTGGGATTTTCTATTTTATTTCTCCAACAATCATGTGAGGTAGGTTAAGCATCAAGAAGTGGAAGGCTGCTCAATGAATTTTCATTCCTGAGCAGAAGGGTGCACCTAGATCTCCCTACTCTAAGTTTAACACTTTTTCCTAGACTGGTGTCATCTATTTGTATTAGTGTGTTGGCCACTTGCTGAGGATGATATAAATTGTAGTCTAACACATTGTGGGGGCATCAGGTTACAGAAGGCTCAAGGATGTATTATGGAGGCCAAAATGGGAGCATTATCCCATGTGAAAATTCTGTCTGCAAAGAAAATTTCTTTCAGTCTCCAAATTTTGAGCTTTGCTGGAACTTATAACTTCAGTCCAGCATTTAGAAATATATAGTTTAGGCATCCAAAGAAACAGGGCAAATAAAAATTACCAGGGGAATGTGAACACAACAAATAGATGGGTTCTAGGTGTGAACATTTTTCAATGATGCCCTCTCTGCAATGCTAGAAATTTGGGAACTGAAGGGAAATGTTATTTGTGGGGCAGAATTCACATTGGGGCAATGCCTTTATTTTGCTTCCCCCATAATTACAAGACTGAGGCAGCTCAGAGTCAAAAGCATGCATACTCTTAATCTTCACAGAACCTCAAAAAAATAGGGCATGATCTGACAAAAATATATAATGAGCCCTTGGTATCCACTGGGGTTTGGTTCTAGGATGCCCTGTGGATATCAAAATCTGTGGATGCTCAGGTCCCATTATATACAATGGCATAGTAAAATGGTAACCCTTACATAAAATGGCAAAATCAAGCTTTGCTTTGGGGGATTTATATAGCTTTTGAATATTTTCAAGCCATGGATGGTTGATTCCGTGGATATGGAGGGCCAACTGTATGTGAGCATGTAAAGTTTGGAAGAGAATAACAAAAGGCACAAAGATAACCCAGAAGCAATGGTAGTAATAAAACCAATGTATTTTGACAGGAGAATGAGAGAAATTTCCTTTGGGAGGAAAGACCTATTGATGGGACTAATAAGCTTATAGCACTGTGTTCTTGGAACATGATGAGAACGTGATGAGAATGGAACGGAACGTATTTTATCGCATGGTATTATCCTCATCGAGTTCCCATTCTGTGTTCTGACAGTCCCTAGCCTGTTCCAGGAGGAGAACTGTAAAAATGCATCCTCAGCCAGCAAGATCACTTTCAGACCGTTCCAGATTATGTGTGCGTGATAATCCTACCTGGTCTCAATCTGTCCTCATGTTCTAAGACAACCTCCTCCCCTCCCATCCTAGAACGTCCACAAACTCAACTCAACTCTTCCAGTGTTGATGCAAGGAAGGTGCCACAGGCAATTTATTTTTATTTTTATTTTTGTAGATTGAATTGCATCGTGTTTACAAGAAAGAAACAATGAATACTTGCTACCTAAACCTCTTGATAGCATTCTTTCCAATGCAGACATAGAGGTTTTCGCAACAGTGAGCATGCACCAATGAGGAACGGCTGAGGAACTACTTTAGTGCTGGTACTGGTACAACAGTAAATGCAGTGCGATAATATGTGTTCTCATAACGTTACTATAGCGTTATCAATAGTCTAATGTGGTAACACCCGTTCCCATATCATTACGTTCCAGGGATTCAATGGGAATGTTACAGGTACTGGTGCGATAAGCTTAATATACAAATTATAATGTTGTTTTCCTACAGAATCTTAAAAGTAGTATAATAGAGAGACATCCCTGTGTTGCTTGCATATGGCCCATAATTCCCTCTATACAGCATGGTGTGGTAATCTGAGTGTTGGTCTACAACTCTGGAGACCAGGGTTTGATTCCCAGCTCAGCCATGAAACCCACTGGGTGACCTTGGGCAAGTCACACTCTCTCAACCTCAAAGGGAAGGCAATGGCAAACCTCCTCTGAACAAATCTTGCCAAGAAAATCCAGTGAGTTTCGCCTTAGGCTTGCCATAAGTCAGAAATTACTTGACAGCACACAACACAAACACACAATTTTGTAGTCCCCCTCCAATGCCTCTATCAGAGCTCTGGAAAATAGGGTCTGAATTAATGTGTATGCCACTGGGCGCAGTATCTGTACCCCATTCAGCTGTCTTAGAAACCATTAGCTATTTTGACCAAATAAAAATAAAAGTTTCTACAGAGCTTTTAGGTCTTTCACAAGAGATTCTGATATTCCATCCAGTACTTACCTTCTCAGAGTAATTCCTCAGAGAGAACATGTCAGCTTACTCCTGAATAGAGAGAGTCAGCATGGTGTAGTGGTTTGAGCATTGGACTATGACTCTGGAAATCAGGGTTCGAATCCCTGCTTGGCCATGAAACCCACTGGGAGGCCCTGGGCAAGTCACACTCTCTCAGCCTCAAATGAACTTGCCAAGAAAACTCTGTGATAGGCACCTTACAGTTGCCATAAGTAGAAAATGACTTGAAGGCACACAACAACAACAACTCTTGAATAAGCGTGCATAGATTTAAAACCTTAGAATGCCTTTCAGGTATGGCTGACCTTGCCTAGAAGTCAGAAAGTGAAAACAGGGAAAGGATGAAGATAGGAATGGATGTCATCATCATCATCATCATCTCACCTTTTCCCCAGTCTGGGATGCAAGGCGACTTACAAAAGTTAAAACAGATTGAACTAAAAAATTCATAGTGAACAAAAGTACAGTTGTCTCTCCATTTTCACTGGGGATCCATTCCGGAACACCACCACCCCCCGCAAAAAATAGAAATCTGCAAATATTCAAGCCCCATAGACTTGAATGGCTGCATGCACACCACGGGTGCTGGTCTAAGAGAGATCCCGAGGTCCGCAAAAATGGAGGAACAAGTGTATAATTAATTAATTAATCAAAAAATTGAATTGAAGGAAGTTAAAAACATGACCATTAGAAAGAAAATAAGTAAACAGCACAGTACATTCTGATAGGCTCTTTACTCTGAGCACAGGATGACCTTGGGCAGGTCACACTCTCTCAGCTTCAGGGGAAGGCAATGGCAAACCCCCCTCTGAAGAAACTTGCCAAGAAAACCTAGTGATAGGGTTGCCTTAGGGTCATCATAAGTTGGAAATGACTTGAAGGCACACAACACAAAAACTATGAGCCCTCAAAAGCCTCCCAAACAAAAAGGCCTTCGCCTGCTTAGAGAATGATGGCAGGGAGGGTGCCAGTCTAATCTCTCTGGCAAAAGAGTCACAGAACCTGAGCCTGGGAGCAGTCAGCTAGAAAGCCCTTGGTGCAACAAGATCATTAAAAATTTTGGCCCTTTAGGAGGATGGAAGCACCATTTGGGCTTCACTCCAGGCCATAAAGTGGTTATTCAGATGGTGGGAGGGGGATAATACGGATCCCCTGCGAAAACGAGGGGCGACTGTACTTAGTATTACGGTATCTATATTTTTTCTTTTATTTAATAGGAAACACGCAGGCTAGGCATGTTTGCCTTTTCCTCTGCCCTTATCACATTTAATTAAAACTCTTAAGAACATTTCTGATAAAGCAGTGAGTAGTCTATTATGTGCCTTCTGCAAACAACAATTCTCCCACAATTGGTGCCTTAGAATGGTCTCAGCAAAGGGTGAGTGATTCATTTGAAATGGATCAATGGGAGAATTTGACTTGCAGCCATTATATTACCCATCAAGACCAGGCTTAAATTGTTTTCATACTTGGAATTCCCTTTCTCACCCTTTAAAACAGCTCTCATGGACTTTCAGTTGTTTTCACTTAGGGTAGGGTTGGCAACCTTTACCACCCAATTCTATCCTATTTTTTTAAAAAAGTAAGTCCCAATATGTACCATGGGACTTTGTGGTTGGGTGCCTTCAAGTTGTTTCCAAATTATGGCGACCCTATGGTTTATTGGCAAGATTTGTTCAGAGGAGGTTTGCCTTTGCCTCCTGAGAGAGTGTGACTTGCCCAAGATTATCCAGTGCATTTCCATGGCCGAGCAAAGATTTGAACCCTGGTCTCCAGAGTCATAGCCCAACACTCAAACCACAACATCAAGCTGGATCACCATAGTCCCATCATGGGACTACTTACTCCTTGGTCAGTGAATTAGGTAAACTAGATTGCCACTTCAGTTTCTAAATACAGGCCTTCTGGGGTTGGCTGATAATATTATGAGTTGCATGTGTCCCAGCCTCATATTGTAAAGATCATTGCACTCCCACATCCCACCACCCAAATTTTTTGGTGGTGAAAAAAAAGAAGGATCACATCTCCAGAAAACAGAATTCACCTTTAAAAGAAGGCATGGTACACATGCACAGATTAAAGTAAAGTAAAAAATGACATTTTTCTGAAACCAGAACGGAGTCATGTCTGGTTCAGCGGGTTAGAGTGGCTCATGGCAGACTCAAGGAGGGGCAATGGCCAGTGGACTTGTCCAAGTTGCCCAGATACAATAAAGAAACCTGGCCAGTCAAGGGAGTGGAGGAGCCCGACACATATGGGTGGGTCAAATGGGATTTTGGCATTTTAGCCAAATGCTCAAATGGTTTTTGGATTCTACCTGAAGTGGGAGGGGTGCTCTTTCTTCTTCTCATTGTTGTTATGTGCCTTCCAGTCAAGTCTAACTTAGGGAAACACCAGTGTGGAATTGGACTGGGGCTCTGTGAGTTGTTGTTGTGTGCCTTCAAGTCATTTCTGATTTATGGCAGTTTTAAGGAGAATCTATCATGCAGTTTTCTTGGCAAAATTTGTTCTGAGGAGGTTTGCCTTTGCCTTCCTCTGAGGATGAGAGTCTGTGATTTGCCCAAGGTGGGTTTCCATGGCTGAGCAGCGGTTCAGTTTCTGGTTTCCTGAAGTTGTAATCCAACACTCAAACCACTACACTGCATTGGCTTTCGCCTTTCTCCTTTACTAATAAGTTTTTAATTGTGATTGTAACATTTCTAAAAAAAAATGTTTTATGTTGATGATCTCTTTTAATGCCATTTTTTGGCAAAAAGATGGGATATCCATCTATCCATCCAATCTGTCTATTGGGCAGGACCAGAGCAGAATTTATATTGTAGCTCAGTAGTCTTTGGCTTTTCAGACTCAGTTCTTGCACCCTATTCCTCTGTCCAACATGGAAACAACTATCAGTTTTTGTCATCCATTCCCCCCCCCCCCCCCATCTCTCTTCCTGACTCTCTGTCTCTCTCTTGGTTGTTGTCTGTTTCCCTTTTCATGTCACTTTGTCCACCCAAGGTTGCCAGATGACACAGGCCATGGTATGTGACCTTCTGCCCCTTGCATTCCAGAGTATTCCCTATGCCAAGGAAAGGAAAGTGCTGACAGCAGCACTAGTGAGACCCAATTTAGGCCAGGGCCTGGCCAGCTGAGAACAGTGGACACTTGCATTCAGCTTTAGACTGGGAGAGTGTCAGAAGAAGGCAGAAGAAGCTGAGAGCTGGAGAAACTGCAGCCTGAATCGCAACGGACAGAAAGGAGGGCTCTGCTAATCTTACAGAATCATAGAGTTGGAAGAGACCCCAAGGGCCATCCAGTCCAACCCCATTCTGCCATGCAGGAAGACACAACCAAAACACCCCCAACAGATGACCATCCAGCCTCTGTTTAAAAACCTCCAAAGAAGGAGACTCCACCATGCTCTGAGGGCGCATCTTCTACTGTCAAACATTTCTTACTGTCATAAAGTTCTTCCTAATGTTGAGATGGAATCTCTTTTCCTTAGTTTGCATCCATTGCTCCATGAACTATTCTCTGGAGCAACAGAAAACAAGTTTGCTTCATCCTCAACATGACACCCCCTCAAATACTTATACAGGGCTATCATATCACCTCTTAACCTTTCCTTCTCCAGCTTAAACATACCCAGCTCCCCAAATCTCTCCGGATAGTAGCTGCTGGTGCTTCTCAAGTCGATGGGGTGCCAAATCTGAGCCGGGTTTCAAAGGAGCTATTTTGGGAATATGGTTCCACGCCTTGGATAGCTTGTTTAAAGTCTGAAGCAAATCCACTCAGGGTGACTAGTCATCCTTCTTTTCCAGGATATGTCATACATTTCAACCTTCTGTTCAGGAGGAATTCCAAATATATCCTCCATTTTGAGCATGATTAAGAAGCATGAATTTACATTTATAGGAGTGTTTTTAGCTTTTCTTTGGTAATGTCCTCCATTTTTCTTGAATGCCCTACATTTTGTGGTGCCTTGTCCTCCCTCGTGGGTATGACATCTGGTCACCCTGGATCCATGCTCCACAATCCACCAGTGGATCTGGCAAGAGCTGAGGCTCCTGGTATGTCTACCTGAACTGACCAAGCCAGAGGTCTCATACTGCCTCTCAGTTACAACTGCTGGCAAATTACGCACATCCCTTTCATATCTGAACAGGATTATAAATTGTTGTTGTGACGCTGTTGCCACTTTATGGCAACCTAAGGCAAACATATAATGTGGTTTCTTGACAAGTTCTTTTCAGAAGGGGTTTGCCTTTGCCTTCCTTTGAGGCTAAGAGAGTGTGACTTGCCCAAAGACACCTAGTGGGTTTCCACGGCTGAACAGGGATTTGAACCTTGGTTTCTAGAGTTGTAGCCACAACACCAAGCTGGATCACCATAGTTCCACCATGGGACTACTTACTTCTTAGTCAGTGAGTTAGATAAACCAGATTGGCACTTCAGTTTCTAAATATAGGCCTTCTGGGGTCACATGAGAGTGTTATGGGCTAGCTGTAGGCTGCATGTGTCCCATCCTCATAGGATGGGATTTTAAAGATCATTGCACTGCCAGATTCCATCACCCAAATATTTTTGTTGGTGAAAAAAAGAAGAATCATACCTGACGGACATGTGATTTGCCTTTAAATGAAGGCATGGTACACTTACACACCTTGTTTCAAAGTAAAAATTACATTGTTCCTCATGGTTTTCCATGGCTGAGTGGAGATTTGAATCCTGGTCTCCCAGAGATAAGTCCAACACTCAAACCACTGCACCACGCTGGGTGACTATAAGGCCTAATCATTATTTATGGTCTAACCACTGTTCACGCTCTAAGCATCCTTTCTAATGACCCACATCATGGCCTAAATCCTATTGTTAATCCTAACTTGTTGAATCAATGGGATTTACCTGTGCCAATGGTTTTGACTCACCATTCAGCAATCCAATTAATGGGTCTATTCTTTGTTGTGTACCTTCAAGTCATTGCTGATATATGGCAACCCTAAGGCAAACCTATCATGGGTTTTTCTTGCCAAGTTTTGTTCAGAGGAGGTTTGCCATGGCCACCCTCAGAGGGTGAGAGAGTGTGACTTGCCCAAGGTCACCCAGTGGGTTTTATGGCTGAGCTGGGAATCAAATCACGGTCTCCAGAGTCACACAACACACAAACTACTATGCCGCAGTGTCTGAACTGTAAAATGCAGATTACACAGGATGTTGCCATAGCTGGGGAGAACGTCAGTGGTTTTTCAAAGACTAATTGAAAGATCTTCAAAATGACTGAGAAGGAGGCATCAGAAACCATAAAAATATTTGCAAAATATATTGCGGAAAAGCTGATAAGGAACCTCTGGCTGCCTCTCATCCCACACACCCAACTTTCAGACTAAAATAAATACCCTGCTGTGAAACATTAACCTAAATTACCTTAATATATCACAAAACAATGTCTGAACCTTGACTCAGCTAGGCTACCACAAACCCTCAGCTTAAGGTGTTGGATCCAAACTTTGCAGGCAGGTTTCTTGTCTTCTTATTGCTGGTTCCATGGAAAGGCTGATTGTGAGAGTGTTCCTGGAAGTAGTGACAGGTGAACAGGTGCCAAGGCGGACAGCAAAACTCTTGCAAGTATAAACATGGTGTAGAAAATCCACTTTCAATAGGCACAACTAGTCATGGAGGAGTAGGAAAAACAGCATCTGCTGAAAGACCTCATTTTAGCTTTTAAGGAGTATTTCAAGAAGTGCTTCCCAAATTGTTTTTTTTTATAGCTGAAGTGTTTTTGCTGTGAAATAAATGTTTGAATACAACTGACTTTTACGCTGAATGTTTTTTACTTTACAGTAAACTAAAGTATATAAAAAAGTAATGTATAAAAATGGTCAGTGTAAAAGTCAGGTGTGCTTCAGAAGTTTATTTCACAACAAAGGTATGTTTCAGCTATTTTTTAAAAACCCAAAAACCTGGGGTTAAAGTAAAGAGTGAGAACCAGCGCGAAGTACCAATTTGAGTGCTGAAGTGTTGGACTTAAGACTCTGAAGACCTGTAGAATTCAAAGAAATAGCTATATTAGTCTGTAGAATCAGTACACAGAGAGATCTTGTAGCACCTTTGAGACTATAATTGAAAGAAAGAAATTGGCAGCATGAGCTTTCACAGGAGACTGAGGTCTGCTTCTTCAGATGCATTTGGACAAATGCATCTGAGGAAATAGTCTGGAGACCAGAGTTCTGGTCTCCAGACTACTTCCTCAGATGCATTCCTGGCTCTGCCATGAAACCCACTAGGTAACCTTGGCAAGCCATACTCCTTTTACATCTACCATGTGGACATTGTGCATCCCCTTCAATGTAGTATAGGGTTAGCGTTAGAGTGGAGGTGGCATCTCAGGGCAGTGGCAAGCCCAGGCACATGCTGTGCTCCTGTGGTTTGCCTGAAGTGGTATGCTTGTGCTGCTTCTCCTCGGCCAGCTGGTCTGACATGCCATTTGTTTGGGAATGGAGTCACAGAGTCTGCTTCTCTTCTGCCTCTCAGGAAGCCCAGTCAGAAGCAAGTGAACAAGAGGCACTGCCAGCCTCTCCACCATTGTAGACACTGGCTCTCCTTCAGTCACCATGTACTTGTGGTGCACTGGACTAAGAGGGTACACTGATTGATACTGCATGGATGTATCAACCTGAGAACCAGTGATGGGATGGGTGAAGGAAGAAGCAGCAGCAGTTTGGACCCACCAGATGCCAGTGGTGTCACTAAGGTTGGTGTCACCTGGTGCGGTAACTCATGGCGTCACCCTCCCATTTGACCTCCTCCCATCCCACCCCATACAGAACCCTTAGTAATGTTTTTTGTACTAATGTTACTCATTAATCATAATTCCTGCATATCACTGGAATGTCGTGGAAAATGTTGTGACATAAGGCAACTAGCAAACTAAAAACTATCCCTTTAAATTACAACATCATATGCACAGCGTCAATGACTTTACACATGCATAGCTTCATGTGGTTGAAGTAAAAATTTGGTAAAAGGTGATGTTTATAAAAGAAAATTTAAAAAGAATAACATTTCAGTTTTCAGGTTACAGAATCTGCAAGAGACTCACCGTTGTGTCTCTTTTCACCAATAGGTAACTTTTTTTTTTTTTTTTGCTTAGGCTTGCATTCTGTTTCATTTTTCTTTTTTAAGTCTGAAGATGAGGAAGCAAGAGAAGAACAAGTTGTTGTTGTTATCATGCTTTGTCTTGATTAATTCATTCTATTGATTTGGTAATTATTTCCCTGTACAGTTTTTAGTACTTGTTTTTAAATAATATAAGTAACCCTAAACTGTTGAAGTGGAAAGGCTGGGTTAAAATCCTTAAGTAGACAAATCAACAAAGAAACAACAATCATCCTCTTGCCCATTAGCATGCAAGCAATCTTAAAAAAACCAGTAATGCAGTCGGCCCTCCATATCCACTGTTTGTTTTATCCATGGATTCAACCATCCATGGTTTGGAAATATTCCATATATATATATATATATATATATATATATATATACATACATATATAAAAGCAAACCTTGATTTTGCTATTTTATATAAGAGACACTATTTTACTATGCCACTGTATATAATGGGACTTGAGCATCCACTGATTTTGGCATCCAGGACCACGGATTTTGGACCTGGAACCAAACCACAGCAGATGCCAAGGAAACCACTGCATTTCATTTATTAAATTGTCTGTTGCTCACAAGAGAAACATGATTTGCAGCATGTGTGGGCCTGAATGAGGCGACTCACTAGACATTGCTGCAGGGACACTTTCATGAAGCAAGGCTGAAGGCAATCATTTCACAAAACAAGCTACAGAGAATATTGTGCTTATAAAAATCATGACCTTTAACATTCCCCAGATGAAAACTGGGATAAGTGTGGCCATGCAACACCAAGGTGAGGTCAAGATGCCAAAAGTTTTTAATGGAGGAAGAATACAAGCTGGGAGAGGCTGCATCAGATTTCTTTTGCATTATCCTACTGGGAAGGACAACACCCCTCTCCTTGCTTTATATGTTTATTTATTTGAGTTTAGTGTACTTTGAACTTAGTGTAAAGCAACTGATGTAAGCTGAGGACAAATGGAGAAAGTGGAAGGAGGAGAGAGAAAGTGGGACATTTCAAAAGTGGGTTGATAGAAGGCGAATCGGGATTTGTTGTTGTGCGCCTTCAAGTTGTTTCTGACTTACGGAGACCCTAAGGTGAACCTATCATGGAGTTTTCTTTGCAAGTTTCTTTGGAGAGGGTTTGCCATTGCCATCCTCTGGGCCTGAGAGTGTCTGACTTGCCCAAGGTCACCCAGTGGGTTTTGTGGCCCAGCTGGGAATCGAACCCTGATCTCCAGAGTCCTAGTCAAATGCTCAAACCACTATACCATAATCAGGACTGTCCCTGCTAAACTGGGACTGATGGAAGACAGGGAAAGCCATAGTGGCTTCATTTGGTTTCCTTCTGACATATGAGTACCAGCAGGTTCTGAAGGGGTGCCTAAAACTCTCACGTTGAACAAACTTACCTTAAATTGGGTAAAATTTCTCCTTACAGTGTGGTCTGTTTCTTGGTGCAGCATGTGAGCCACCTCCATTGATGCTTTTAAAGCAAGGATGGGTAATCTGTGCACTGTTGTTGGCCTGAAATCCCAATCAACGTTGGAGTCCAACATCTGGAGAACCTACTTCAAAGCTTTTAGTCTCATGCAAAAGTATCCTAGCCATCTTAGGGACCAAGAAGGGGAAAATACCAGGATTAGACCTAATCAAATTAATATTTTTGGGAGCAACCTGGTTGTATAGTGGAGGTAGGAATTTGGTGGCCCTCTAGATGTGGTTAGAATGCAATTCCCAGCATTTCACACCATTGGATGTATTGACTAGGGCTGCTGGGAGTTATGGTTCAATAACATCTGGACAGCCTTGCATGCCCACATTGTTATAGAGGGCTGGTGCAGAATGTTTGAGGAATGTCACAGAAAGCTCTTGTGGGCCTCACTGCTCGAATCTGTTACAGGACATCCAGCCTTGCTACTTTGCACAAGTTGCCTTCTTTTGCCTCTGCAAGATTCCAGATGTGTATTGGTGAGGATATACATCTGGAATCTTGCAGAGACAAAAGATGGAGAGCCAGCATGGTTTGAATGTTGGACTATGACTTGGAAGACCAGGGTTTGATTCCCAACTCGGTCACGAAACCTGCTGGGTAACCTTGGCCAAATCACACTCTCTCAGCTTCAGAGGGAGGCAATGGCAACCCCCCTCTGAACAAATCCTGCCAAGAAAACCCCATGGGTCATCAAAAGTCGGAAACGACTTGAAGGTGCACAACAACACACATTGATGAGGATATATTTAACATGCTTCAGATGCATGTTTGCAAGGAACTTGGGGTTGGTCATAAACAGTATAAAGAAATTTGATGCTGGGAACTTGGTGTTATATGGCTAGATTCTGCTCAAAATCAAAGCCAGCAGGATTTGACCTCTCTGTGCAGAAGAGAGTAGTAGCCCCCTAAATTAATGGGGGGTTGTCTCCTGTTCACCAAATCTTTGGGTCCATCTTCTTTTCTCCTTCTTTATTTACACAGTGCATGAACTGGAAGAATCCAGCATGCAGAAAATGTAATTGTATGAGCCTGCTCCTCTCTCTGACCCCGAGAAAAACCATGTGAACCAGACGATTTGATCTTACTAATTCCTGCCTGAAGTGAAGCGTACTTTTGAGAATACCAGCCAGTGACAGCTATGCTTGCAAAACCAAATACCATCTAGTCAGTTAACTAATCACTTTGTAAATCGTGGAGGATAATGATAAAATGTTTTTCAAGGGTGGATATGTCTAGGACAGGTCTTGTTTTGCTTCAGTCTTATCAAATTCTCTAAGGGAGTTTGCAAGAAGTATGTGTTTTGCAGTTCTACTCCTCATTTCATAAACTGACCCAAGAATTTGTTTCGGCCGATGGTGTGTTGACTGCAGGTCACAGCTTGGCAAGACTTTCTAATAATGATGACACCAGCAATAAAATTGCAAGTTTTGACCAGGTTGGTTAGTACAGGATCAGGACTATGGGGGGTTGCAGACTGCCAGAAATAGTGCAAATTGAGTCCACTTTTAGGGTTAGGGTTAGTGCTAGGGAATCATGGGAATTGGGTTTTTTTCTGAGACATTGAGCCTTCTATGTCAGAGAGCTCTGGTGCCACAATAAACTACAGTTCCCATGATTCCCTAACCCTAACCCTAAAAGTGGACTCAATTTGCACTATTTCTGGCAGTCTGCAACCCCCCTATATTTCTCACAGCCTCTGTGCCTCAAATACCAGTCCTCCACAATGAGCAAAACCTAGCTAGAATTACAAAACTATAAGGCTGCAGTCCTTGGGACACATACTTCAGAGTAAGCCCCACTGAAATATTAACATATTATGTGGACTAAAATTGTTGTTGCTGTTGTGTGTCTTCAAGTCGTTTCTGACTTATGGTGACCCTAAGGGAAACCTTTCATGGGGTTTTGTTGGCAAGATTTGTTCAGAGGATGTTTGCCATTGCCATTCTCTGGGACTGAGAGCATGTGACTTGCCCAAGGTCACCCAGTGGGTTTCACGGCCGAGTGGGGAATCGAACCCTGGTCTTCAGAGTTGTAATCTGACATTCAAACCACTACGCCACACTGGCTCTCAATGTGGACTGAAATATAAACTGTTAAATAAAATACACAAAATAAATATGTTTGCATAGTTCATACAAGTTGCAAAATTCAGCTTTTCTTCTGGCAGAGTATCTAAGAGGTGATGTTTGTGTACACAAAACTGATTGTTCCTCTGAGCCCTAGGCATGCTTACTCATAAGTAATGTCTATTGAATTTAATGGCATTTACTTGCACGTACATTGCATAGGAGGGAGAGCCAGTGTGGTATAGTAGTTTGAGTGGCTATAACTCTGGAGAGCAGGGTTCAAATCCCCAGTCGGCCATGGAAACCCACTGGGTGGCCTTGGGCAAGTCATACTCTCACAGCCTCAGAGGATGGCAATGGCGAACCCCCTCTGATGAAATCTACCATGAAACCCCTATTTGAGGTTGACCTTAAGGTCGCCATAGGTTGGGAACAAATTGAAGACAGACAACAACAACAACAACAACAACACTGCATAGCGTTGTAACCTAAAAATGTGAACCACAGCATTCAACAAGGTTGCCTGCCTCTGGGATATATTTAAACAAAAACTCTTTGTTTTTACAACAGTATCTATACCATGTTAAATCTTATCTATTTCCTTGTAATCTCTGTGGTGTGTCACACAGACATTCAGTTCTGGTGAAACTCACATAACCTGCCTTAGAGTATAATGTTTTTGTTTTTTTCCAGTGAGCATGCATGGCCAAAGCAGATAAATTTGCTTGTTTGCACCGCCTGCAGCTAGTTGTTCTTTCAGAGAAATATCAAAAGTAGGTGGATGAGAAAATGGGTGTGTGGAAGACACTACAGACATCAGGCAAGAAGCCAGAACACATTCATAGAAGGTAATCCAGTTCTTTCAGAAAATAACATAATTAAAAACCTGAGCACAGAGGAATGTATTTGAAAAGCCTGACCTAACTCTGATAAAGGTGATGTCAGATAATAATTCTGTCTACCAAGTTTGGCATCAGGCTGTGCTTTGCCTTACATTGTAGTTGTTAAGGGAACATATGATGATTTGCCGTCATAAGCAAAAAATAGTTCTTAATGTATTGGGCAGGGCATTTTCATACCTTCCAACAGTTCATAGATGAAAACCAGGATACAGATAGCCAAGCATCATCAGAATGTGTTCAAGATGGCAAAGTTATTAATGAGGAAGCACACACAAGCTAGGACAGTCTGCAGCAGTTTGCTTTTGCCTGAAACTAGAAACAGGTGCCAACACACCTTATCTGTACTCAGGACAAGAGGCTACTGTCAGAACAAAACACAGAGAAACAGAATGGTTCCCAATTGGCAAAGGGGTCAGACAAGGCTGCATCCTTTCACCCTATCTGTTCAACTTGTATGCAGAACATATTAAAGAAAAGCAGGCTTGGACACGGAAGTGTGAAGATGGAAGGAAGGAATATCAACAATCTGAGATGCACAGATGACACCATAAAACCTCACAGACCTGGAACAACTACCAAGGAAGATTAAAGAAGAGAGTGCAAAGACAGGCTTACTGTCGAACATAAAGAAAACAAAAATAATGACAATGGAGAATCTAGACAAATTCAACCTAGACAATGAAGAAACAGAAATAGCAAAAGAATTCTCTTACCTGGAATCAAACATTGATAGAAATGGGGACTGCAGCCAGGAATCAGAAGATTAAAAGGGGAAGCAGACTGGCGGCATGGGGCTGCCCTGGGAAGGTGAGCCGCAGGATCGAGGCATCCCCACGCCTTGGTCCTGTGGCGCTCCTTCCCCGTCCCTGAAAGGAGCGCTAAAAAGTCAGTGAAAGTGCGCCTCAAAAGTGTGAGGTGCACTTTCGCTTACATCCGCCGCAGC